AGTGGAAACAACTACTGCAGAGAAGAATAAAGGAAAAAAAATGAAAAGAATTGAGGACAGTCTTAAGAGACCTCTAGAACAACATTAAATGCACCAACATTCAAATTATAGGGATCCCAGAAAAAGAAGACAAAAAGAAAGGGACTGAGAAAATATTTGAAGAGATTATAGTTGAAAACGTCCCTAATATGGGAAAGGAAATAGTCAATCAAGTCCAGAAAGTGCAGAGAGTCCCATACAGGATAAATCCAAGGAGACACACACCAAGACATACTAATCAAACTATCAAAAATTAAAAACAAAGAAAATATTAAAAGCAGCAAGGGAAAAACAACAAATAACATACAAGGCATTCCCCATAAGATTAACAGCTGATCTTTCAGCAGAAACTGCAAGCCAGAAGGGAGTGGCAGAACATATTTAAAGTGATGAAAGGGAAAAACCTACAACCAAGATTACCCAGCAAAGATGTCATTCAGATTCAACAGAGAAGTTAAAACCTTTACAGACAAGCAAAAGCTAAGAGAATTCAGCACCACCAAACCAGCTTTACAACAAATGCTAAAGGAACTTCTCTAGTCAGGAAACACAAGAGAAGGAAAGACCTACAATAACAAACCCAAAACAATTAGGAAAATGGTAATAGGAATATACATATCGATAATTACCTTAAATGTAAATGGATTAAATGCTCCAACCAGAAGACATAGACTGGCTGAATGGATCCAAAAACAAGACCTGTATGTATGCTGTCCACAAGAGACCTAGGGACACATACAGACTGAAAGTGAGGGGATGGAAAAAGGTATTCCATGCAACTAGAAATCAAAAGAAAGCTGGAGTAGCAATTCTCCTATCAGACAAAATAGACTTTAAAATAAAGACTATTACAAGAGACAAAGAAGGACACTACATAATGATCAAGGGATCAATCCAAGAAGAAGACATAACAATTGTAAATATTTATGCACCCAACATAGGAGCACCTCAATACATAAGGCAAATGCTAACATCCATAAAAGGGGAAATCAACAGTAACAAAAACATAGTAGGGGACCTTGACACCCCACTTTCACCAATGGACAGATCATCCAAAATGAAAATAAATAAGGAAACAAGCTTTAAATGATAACATTAAACAATATGCACTTAATTGATATTTATAGGACATTCCATCCAAAAACAACAGAATACAGTTTCTTCTCAAGTGTGCACGGAATATTCTCCAGGAGAGATCATATCTTGGGTCACAAATCAAGCCTTGGTAAATTTAAGACAATTGAAATTGAAATTGTATCAAGTATCTTTTCCGACCGCAGCTCTATAAGACTAGATATCAATTACAGGAAAAAATCTGTAAAAAATACAAACACATGGAGGCTAAACAATACACTACTTAATAACCAAGAGATCACTGAAGAAATAAAAGAGGAAATCAAAAAATACCTAGGAACAAATGACAATGAAAATATGACGACCTAAAACTGATGGGATGCAGCAAAAGCAGTTCTAAGAGGGAAGTTTATAACAATACAATCCTACCTCAAGAAACAAGAAACATCTCAAACAACCTAACCTTACAGCTAAAGCAATTAGAGAAAGAAGGACAAAAAAAAATCCCAAAGTTAGCAGAAGGAAAGAAATCATAAACATCAGATCAGAAATAAATGAAATAGAAACAAAGAAAACAATAGCAAAGATCAATAAAATTAAAAGCTGATTCTTTAAGAAGATAAACAAAATTGGTAAACCATTAGCCAGGCTTATCAAGAAAAAAAGGGAGAAGACTCAAATCAATAGAATTAGAAATGAAAAAGAAGTAACAACTGACACTGCAGAAATACAAAGGATCATGAGAGTTTACTACAAGCAACTACATGCCAATAAAATGGACAACCCTGAAGAAATGGACAAATTCTTAGAAAAGCACAACCTTCCGAGACTGAACCAGGAAGAAATAGAAAATATAAACAGACCAATCACAAGCACTGAAATTGAGACTGTGATTAAAAGTCTTCCAAAAAACAAAAGCCCAGGACCAAATGGCTTCACAGGCGAATTCTATGAAATATTTAGAGAAGAGCTAACACCTATCTTTCTCAAACTCTTCCAAAATATAGCAGAGGGAGGAACACTCCCAATCTCATTCTACGAGGCCACCGTCACCCTGTTAACCAAAACCAGTCAAAGATGTCACAAAGAAAGAAAACTAAAGGCCAATATCACTGATAAACATAGATGCAAAAATCCTCAACAAAATACTAGCAAACAGAATCCAACAGCACATTAAAAGGATCATATACCACTATCAAGTGGGATTTATCCCAGGAATGCAAGGATTCTTCAATATACGCAAATTAATCAATGTGATACACCATATTAACAAATTGAAGGAGAAAAACCATATGATCATCTCAATAGATGCAGAAAAAGCTTTTGACAAAATTTAACACCTATTTATGATAAAAATCCTCCAGAAAGTAGGCATAGAGGGAACTTACTTCAACATAATAAAGGCTGTATATGACAGACCCACAGTCAACATCATTCTCAATGGTGAAAAACTGAAACCATTTTCTCCAAGATCAGGAACAAGACAAGGTTGTCCACTGTCATCACTATTTTTCAACATAGTTTTGGAAGTCCTAGCCACAGCAATCAGAGAAGAGAAAGAAATAAAAGGAATCCAAATCGGAAAAGAAGAAGTAAAGCTGTCACTGTTTGCAGATGACATGATACTATATATAGAGAATCCTAAAGATACCACCAGAAAACTACTAGAGCTAATCAATGAATCTGGTAAAGTTGCAGGATACAAAATTAATGCACAGAAATCTCTTGCATTCCTATACACTATGATGAAAAATCTGAAAGAGAAATTAAGAAAACACTCCCGTTGACCACTGCAACAAAAAGAATAAAATTCCTAGGAATAAACCTACCTAAGGAGACAAAAGACCTGTATGCAGAAAACTATAAGACACTGATGAAAGAAATCAAAGATGATACAAACAGATGGAGAGATATACCATGTTCTTGGATTGGAGAATCAACATTGTGAAAATGACTATGCTACCCAAAGCAATCTAGAGATTCAATGCAATCCCTATCAAACTACCAATGGCATTTTTCACAGAACTGGAACAAAAAAATTCACAATTTGTATGGAAACACAAAAGACCCCAAATAGCCAAAGCAATCTTGAGAAAGAAAAATGGAGCTGGAGGAATCAGGCTCCTGGACTTCAGACTATACTACAAAGCTACAGTAATCAAGGCAATATGGTACTGGCACAAAAACAGAAATATAGATCAATGGAACAAGATAGAAAGCCCAGAGATTAACCCACGTACATATGGTCACCTTATTTTTGATAAAGGAGGCAAGAATATACAGTGGAGAAAAGACAGCCTCTTCAATAAGTGGTGCAGGGAAAACTGGACAGCTACATTTTAAAGAATGAAATTAGACCACTCCCTAACACCATACACAGAAATAAACTCAAAATGGATTAAAGACCTAAATTTAAGCCCAGACACTATAAAACTCTTAGAGGAAAGCATAGGCAGAACACTCTATGACAAAAATCACAGGAAGATCCTTTTTGAAATACCTCCTAGAGAAATGGAAATAAAAACAAAAATAAACAAATGGGACCCAATGAAACTTAAAAGCTTTTACATAGCAAAGGAAAACATAAACAAGTTGAAAAGGCAACCCTCAGAATGGGAGAAAATATTTGCAAATGAAGCAAATGACTAAGGATTAATTTCCAAAATTTACAAGCAGCTCATGCAGCTCAATATCAAAAGAACAAACAACCCAATCCAAAAATGGGCAGAACACCTAAATAGACATTTCTCCAAAGAAGATATACAGATTGCCAACAAACACATGAAAGGATGCTCAACATCACTAATCATTAGAGAAATGCAAATCAAAATTACAATAAGGAATCAACTTATACCAGTCAGAATGGCCATCATGAAAAAATCTACAAACAAAAAAAGGTGGAGAGGGTGTGGAGATAAGGGAACCCTCTTGCACTGTTGGTGCAAATGTAAATTGATACAGCCACTATGGAGAACAGAATGAGGCTTCCTTAAAAAAGTAAAAATTGAAGTACCATATGACCAGCAATCCCACTACTGGGCATATACCCTGAGAAAACCATAATTCAGAAAGAGTCATGTACCACAATGTTCATTGCAGCTCTGTTTACAATAGCCAGAACATGGAAGCAACCTAAGTGTCCATTGACAGGTGAATGGATAAAGAAGATGTTGTACATATATGTAATGGAATATTACTCAGCCATAAAAAGAAACGAAACTGAGTTATTTATAGTGAGGTGGATGGACCTATGAAGTACCTAGGGTCAGGACAGGAAGAATGACGCAGTCATAGAGAACGGACTTGAGGACATGGGGAGGGACAAGGGTAAGCTGGGACGAAGTGAGAGAGTGGTATGGACATATATACACTACCAAATGTAAAATAGTCAGCTAGTGGGAAGTAGCCGCATAGCACAGGAAGATCAGCTCGGTGCTTTGTGACCACCTAGAAGGGTGGGATAGGGATTGTGGAAGGGAGACACAAGAGGGAGGAGATACGGGGATAGTTGTATATGTATAGCTGAACCACTTTGTTATAAAGCAGAAACTAACACACTATCGTAAAGCAATTATACTCCAATAAAGATGTTTTAAAAAAAGAAATCAGTAAAATATGTAATAAATTATATAATGTTAAGTGCTAAGGAAAAAAAAAATAAAGCAGAGAAAGGGTATAGGAAATCTGAGAAAGGAATGGAATTTTAAATTGAGTGGCCAAGAAAGGCCTCAGTGAGAAGTGACATTTGGATTAATTCCTGAGAAGTGGAGGAGCTAGTTCTGTGGGCTTAAGGCCAGGGTGGGTGCTGGGGGTGGGGGAGCATGCCAGGCAGGGGAGGTCCCAAATTGCATTGGTCATGAGGTGAAACAGTGCTTGGCATAGCTGACGAATATCTAGGAGGCCAGCGTGTCTGGAGGAGACCAAGGAGGAGAGCAGTGGGAGATGAGCCCAAAGAGATGGCAGTAGGCTAGGTCCTAAAGGACCTCATACGTAAGAAAGGAAGCCATTGAAGTGTTTTTCACAGAGAACTGACATTATCTGACTTTTTAGCAGGATCATGCTGGCCACTGAGTTTTGAGAGTAAAGAGGGCAAGATTGGAAACATATGGGGTTCATTTAGGAGGCTACAGTTATAATCCAGACAAAAGCTTGTGGTGGCTTGAGCCAGACAAGTGACAGTGGTGATAGTGAGAAGTGGCTGGATCCTGGATATATTTTGAAAATAGTGTTCACAAGATTTTCTGACACACTAGGATGTGGGGTTATGCACTATCTGTGATACTGTCAAATTTCCATCATATGCTCCTAATTGGTGAAAAAGATACAAATTCTCACTTGTTCTGTCATTTTTAGAGTATGATTTTCCCTGACATAACTTCAACTTTCCTTTTGTTCCTGAGTTTGAAAACACATCCCACAATTATTTCTATGTCCTATCTCAACCTTGAGGAAAGATAAAGAGAAAATGTGGCTTTGAAAATTGACAGTGCCAATACTATCTTATGAGTTTCTCAACTGTAAGCTCCAGCCTTATTTCACTTACCTTGTTGATGTTCTCAAGGCCTGTCTCAGAACCTTGCACCCGTTAGGCTCTCAGAAAATGTTCGTTAAATGGTATAGTCTCCACATTTCCCACCCAATAATGAACAAAAACAACAATCAGCCCCTGTCAACTGCACAATCATAAATTAAAGTTTGTATTTTAGTATTTAGTATATTATGCCAGGGTACTCATTGGGTAAATGTAGTTGAGCTTCCAGCACCTTCATTACTACCACCTGCAATCTGAAGTTGTGTTAGCTTTTTTGCACCTGGAAAGGTAACAAAAAGGCGGAGGAGACTGGTTTTGTAATTCGCATCTGGGACAGAGCGTCACGCCACCTATCTCTTGTAAAATCTACTGAGGAGTTAACGCCCCCTTAAACAGCGCACAAATGTCTACGGGGATGATCAGTCAAAATGCGTCTATACGAAAGGCTGGAGACCCGAGCCTTTCCCAGGGCCCAGCCCACAAGCTCCCGAGGCACGGGCCTGCGCTGTGCACTCCGGGAGTTGTAGTTCCTCCTCTCTTCATGCGAGCCAGGACGCAGTATCTCTGGCGCCTCCAACGGCGCGCAGGCTCCGTGAAGCGCGGCGCACGCGGACGGCACGCGTTTCCTAGCAACGGGGGAGCGGCAACGTCACGCCGGCGGGCGCTAAGAGCAGCTGCCCAGTGTTGGGCGGCTTTCAGTACCTTTCAGCACCTGCGGGTTGGAGGGAACGCTGCTTGCAGCTTTCTGTCGGCACGTCTCCGTCCGTCCTTACCCGCGTTATCCTAAACCCGGTCGCCGACAGCAACCTTCCTCCGCGACCCCGCGTCTGAGGCACTGCCGGAGGCTAGAGGCGGCCCGCCGGGTTCCTGTCTGGCCCTCGCCCCCAGCGCCCGCGGAGCCCGCCGCCCGCGGCCTCAGCGGGACGATGCTGGAGTCCATTCGCGTGACGGGTGAGTGCCAGGAAGGGTGGCCCCTGGGCTGGCGGGAGCGGCCAGCGTCGTCCCGGCCGCTTGCGGCGAGTACCGGGAGGCCGAGGTGACGGGAGCATGTGGGCTTCGGGGCTCAACGCAGCTCCCTGAACAGTGCGGAACCCGCGGAAGGTGCTCAGGGAAAAGGTGTGCAGGGAAGAGAGAAAACGGTCCCTTTTCCTTTTGTCACTTATTATCAGTAAGCGCGTGCTGTGGACTGTAGTGAGGTAAAGTGTAATAGATCGGCCCTACAAACGTACAATCTAAATATTGTTAAATTCTGTTTCAAGGCTTATTAGATATGTAATTAGGCATTGTAGTGCACTAGGATCTAGCTTTCTAGAATGTTCAGAAGTCAGAGCTAAGCAAAAGAGCACATCTCTGTATATCAGTATTTATACTCTTTGTATGTATGCTTTTATTCTTAAATCAGAACGTTTTGAGTTGATATTAAGAGGTCACTTTATAGTAAGTATTATACCAAGCGCAAAAAATGTTTGTTTAGACCCCAGGTCAGAAAGTTGTTTGCCTTTTGTTATTTTTAGAAAATAACTGTGTATGTTAATCATTTAAAAATTATCTTACACAATATTAGAATAATTTCCTAGGCCATTTTCCCATCATTTGATTCTGCCTAACATTCCTGCAAGACAGCGTTCTTGATAACCTAGTATCATGACTAAAAACACCGAAGAACAGCAGAGTAAAGGGAAAGGTCTAATCTTGAAACTGGCTTCAAAATAAGACCAGATTTTTTTACTTTAAGGCATCGGTGTACCTAATAGACCATTTTTCTGCAAAATTTTAAATTGTATAACAAAATTCACTTTTAATGAAAATATTTATGGTCTTAATTTTATATTTCATGTTCCAGGTTATAAAATGAGGAGTTGATTTTGTGCAGTCATGACATTGCTGTGATTTATCTCATTGTTATTTATGTTGTCAGGAAACAGACAATTACAAGATCTAAGATTTAAGAGGCAACTTAAATTGGCATTAACTTTTTTTCTTAAAGTGATTTGATGTAGATCCTGTTCTTTCATCTTAAAATACAATGAAAATTGGAAGGTATTATTCTTTAAAATTTATTTTTGGCTGCGTTGGGTCATTGTTGTTGCACACGGGCTTTCTGAAGTTGCAGCGAGCGGGGGCTACTCTTGGTTGCGGTGCTCGGGCTTCTCATTGCGGTGGCTTCTCGTTGTGGAGCATGGGCTCTAGGCGCGCGGGCTTCAGTAGTTGTGGCACGTGGGGTCAGTAGTTGTGGCTCGCAGGCTCTAGAGCGCAAGCTCAGTAGTTGTGGCGCACGGGCTTAGTTGCTCCGTGGCATGTGGGATCTTCCTGGACCAGGGCTCGAACCCGTGTCCCCTGCCTTGGCAGGCGGATTCTTAACTGCGCCACCAGGGAAGTCCCGAAAGCTACTTTAAAGTACCACATCTTCTTTTTGTATTGGAACAGAGTCTTTCAACCATGACACTATTAATGTTGAGTCGGTGGATAACTGTTGCGGTGGGCTGTCCTGTGCATTGCAAAATGTTTAGCAGCATCCCAGGCCTCTTCCACTAGAAGCTAGTAACCCCCCTCCCCCCCCCCACAGTTGTGACAAACAGAAATGTCTCCAGACATTGTCAAATGTCTCCTGGAGGGCAAAATTACCCCCCCCCCGCCCCATTTGAGAACCACTGCCCTGGAGAAAAAATATACTAGTTAGAAAAATATACTAGTGAAGGTTATTAGATAACGATTTAGAAATAACATCAATTAAGATGATTTCCCCAAAGCATAACAATCATGGTAGAGAAAAAATACAATTATGATAATATTAGTTTTAGAAAGCAGGTATCTGACCAGTTAGCAACAAAGTGGATCTCCTGTTTTTCAATATGCAGAGTTGGAAGTTTGAGGAGAGATACTTTCTAAAATAGTAGACCCACTCCTCCTGCCTCAGCTCTCTTCCCATAATTTAGTGGCAATAGACGTATCAATCCAACTCTGCATGTTGCATTTCCTGAGATAAGATAATCTGGCAGTGTATTTCTGTAGTTCAATAAAAATTCAAATAGTCATTTGAGACAATTCAAGCCTCATTTAAAACAACTGACTGGGGCTTCCCTGGTGGCACAGTGGTTGAGAGTCTGTCTGCCGATGCAGAGGACACGGGTTCGTGCCCCGGTCTGGGAGGATCCCACATGCCGTGGAGCGGCTGGGCCCGTGAGCCATGGCCGCTGAGCCTGCGCGCCCGGAGCCTGTGCTCTGCAATGGGAGAGGCCACAACAGTGAGAGGCCCGCGTACCGCAAAACAAACAAACAACTGACTGGCTGTTTTTCAAAATAGTTTCTCCATTTCTTTTATAAATTTCTTGACTAGTTAAAAGGATAGTTCTAGAACCCCATGCCTAGCATTTTGCTGACATATCAGAAAGCCCAGTTTCAACGGCCAGAAACTTTATGAAGAGAGTTTAGCTGAAAGCATGCCCTCCTTTTCCCTCACTATCACATCATTCATTGATATCTTAGAAGCCCATGTTCTTCTGGTTAGCATCAAGAGCATGCTTGTTTGTGGTAAGGGTACTGATGGAAATGTGTTTATTTCTTTTCAGCTTTAAAATAAGTATAGAGCAAACTGATTGTTTTATTTCAGGACTGAAGCAATTACTTGCTTCTGAAATCACTTCCAATATAGTATCTTACTCACTATTGACTTATTAGTCATGATTTAATATAATCTAAATATAACATCCTGGTGAACTGATTGGAGAAGTAAAATAAAAAAGAAAGATTTGTATGTTATATATGCTGTTTGAAATGGGATCAAATCAGAAGAGATTACCTTCTCATAGCTTTTTAAAGAAGATGGTTTATTATACTAAAGCCACTAAAATGTTGATTCTAGAATGTAGAATTTATTACTTAATGTTAAATTTACCTTGGAAATCCAAATTTCATGATTCTGAATATCTTCCCATTTACATTATTCCATGGAGTATTTCTATAGGAGCTGAATATAGTATTGAATATAATAATACTGATAGTTAACACCTGCTTAGTACAAGCCAGCATTGTTCTCAGCACTTCACATATATTACCTTTTTTGATCCTCCTACTGATACTGTGAGGTACATAGTAATGGTATCCCATTTTACAGATAGGGAAACTGCAGCACAAAGATGTTAAGTAACTTGCTCAAGGTCACAGCTGCTAATAAACAGCCAAGATTCAAATCAGAGAAGCTCCATTCCAAAGCCCATTTTCTCAACCACTAGGAAAGTCAGAACCCTTGTTTAAATGACTATGTGTTGATTTAAGCCACAAAATTCAACATGTGTATCTCATTTAACATCAGTGGTACATTAGCTGATAGTTTTACTCCAGGTGCTGTTAAGTTTTTATCACAGGCAAGTCTAATTTTTGCCTGGAAAGATCATATTTTACTTGACTATAAAATTGTTTCAAAATAGAAGACGACATCTAGCTCATTAAGTGAGTAACAAAATGCTATCAGAAGCCATATAAGATTATGTTATTTTATGAATTCCTACTGCCTGTATCTTGTATGTGATATAAGAAGTGATTAATCATCTGGAAATGAAGCTCCTTTGTAACAAAAGTGAATGTTTAAAACTACTGGAGACAAAAGTCTTAAGAGCAGTGTTTGGCCATGTGGGATGAATACAGTTAGGCACATAGCTCCTGTCTGTCCTACAGCAGTAGGCACCTGCCATTAAAATTTATCTTCAACATCACTAATTGTTTCACATTTTTATGCGTCCTGGTATGATTTTTGCCTCAACCTTCAGGCATTCAAGTCCTGAATCCTTTCTCTCCTCTCAAATATTCTGTTTCCTTGGCTACCTCTCAGGGCAGTGAGTGAGCAGAAACAAACATATATGTATGCCATAATGGGACTTATAATTTCAGTGATGAGGAAGGCCATCATATAAACAAATGTAAGACTGCAACCGTGACAAGTGAGTCAAAGAACCTTCCAGGGAAGTTTTCCTGAACAAGTGATACTTGAACTGAAGGATGAATAGGGATTAAGCTAACAGAGAGGACAGGGGAGGGCTCTTCAAACACAGGGAACAGAATATGAAGATGTTTTGTGTCTGGAGAGGGAGTGGTAAGTGTGAGGGATTGACAAAATGAAGGGAAGCTAGAGTGGACTGATTAAGGGGGAGCATTGTGCATGATGGGGCCAGAGAGGCAGAGTGACCTGACCATGAGTGACCTCATGTGCCATGATTAGGATTTTCTCTTCACCCTAAGTGGAAAGCCTGGGGAAGTTTTTCTCGCATGTTCACTGTTGTTTTAGATGGTATTGAATGCATTTTCTTTTACCACAGACCATCATTTCCCAGCATTATAGAATACCCTGCATGCTTCTAACTGCAAAAGCACACCACCACAAGCAGTTTCTGACCAAAAAACAATAGTATCACATTATAAGAGTCCTTGCTGCTGATAGAGTAACACTGAAGTGCCCCTAACCGGGGCTGTGACATTTTTAAGAATCCTGAAGTATAGCTGAGTTTCTCAGTTCTTGAATGATACTAGCAGTGCCTTTTCATCTCTCTGTTTACTTACAGCTGAGAAACTATATTGGATAATGTTGAATTTGGAGGTATTATAATTAAAAGATTACCTGTTACAATGCAGACAAATTGGGCAATAAATGTTTTCAAAGATACTGATTTTTTTAAATATACCAGTTTAAAAATTATAGTGTAACTTACATTCAGTAAAGTGCTTGAGTCTTAAATGGGCAGCCTGATGAATCTGTACATATGTAACCACTGTGCAGAACAAGATAGCTTTCTAGCCCCCAGTACCCTGGTACCTCCTCCCAGGTTATAACCCCTTCCTCAAAGATAAGCACTATTCTGCCTTCTAATACCATACATTAGTTTTGCCTGTTTTGTTTTTTTTTTCTAATTTATTTATTTTTGACTGCGTTGGGTCTTCATTGCTGTGCAAAGGCTTTTCTCTAGTTGTGATACTCGGGATTCTCCTTGCGGCGGCTTCTCTTATTGAGGAGCACGGGCTCTAGGCCCGCAGGCTCAGTAGTTGTAGCACACGGGCATAATTGCTCCACAGTATGTGGGATCTTCCCAGACCAGGGATTGAACCCGTGTCCCCTGCATTGGCAGGCAGATTCTTAACCACTGCACCACAAGGGAAGTCCCAAGTTTTGCCTGTTTTTGGACCACATACAAATGGAATTATACAGTATGTAGTCTCTTGATCTAGTTTTGTTTGCTCAGTATTGTCTTTGAGATTCACCTATATTGTTGCCTGCAAACTCAGTTTGTTCTTTTTCGTTGCCATATAGTATTCTATTGTATGAATATACCACAATTTACTCATCCTTTCTGCTGTTGACAGATGTTAGATCATTTGAGTTTAAGTAATGATGAACAGCTTGGCAAAACTAAAGTGTTTATCTTGTTTGGGAATTGTTTTATTTTGCCTCTTCTTCTGTTTGTAATCAAGCAACCTATCGTTTTGTGGTATAAAATTACCCCGGGCTCTCAGGTTTCATAAGTATAAGTGAACCATATGAAATTGCCATTTTATGGGTCAAAATTGGTTGAATGGTATTTTCCAGCAGGCTTTGTTTCTGATGATCTGATCTTCCTTTCAGCCAGAGACCTTGTAACTACTGTGAAACCTCACCTATTCAGTTGTGAAACACTAAGAGTTTAGTGAGCAGTGTTCCCCTCTTTCTTCCATTCCTTTAGATGAGGATCAGGAGACGCTGATGGGTTTAGTGATGAAGGCCACTATTACAGAGAGGTTATTGAAAGAGTTGGGAATGGAAGCCAGGAATCCTGGTATTCTTTACTCCTGTTCTAGATACAAATTCAGCTTTCATTGTGTTGGTAATTTCAGTATAGTCATCCACTTGTGAATATACTATCAATTTTAATGTAATATTATTTTCCTTTTTTCCCCTCAATATGGGTAATCATTTTGGGGTGAATGACTTCTTTGATCAAGTTATTTTCATTTTCTCCAAGGTTATAGTGAAGCAGATTGCTGGTGGCTAAAATGTTACATTAAATAGTGACTTTTAATGTGAGAGTATGATTTTTATTTATTTTATTACTTTTATGAGAGAAAATGAGTTACACTTGCCCCCAAAGAAGCCTGCTTATGCTTAAAGTTTTGATTTTTCAGGAAAAAAGGAGTTAGGAGAATAGGATGTTCTTCATTGAACTCTTCTTCTTGTCCTTTTATTATGTTCTTAAGCCTGTTTTAAAGGTTGTTTTTCTTAAACAGTAGTAGTATTTAAAATGACAAAAACAGTATTTTAGGTTTTCTAGTACTTAATACAACTAAAATAAGATTAGCATGACTCTGAGAAATTAATTTACATCTATCTTGTAAGAGTTGTTTGAAGGTCCACGTGCCCCACATTTATGAACTTCATGGGATATCAGCATTTGGCAGGATTGACATTTACTAAATAGATACACCATTGGTACTCCCAGACTACTTATGAGCAGATGGAGCTCATAAAGGACTGATGCTAAACCTCTCAGGTAGATAATTAGCAAGTGAACTGAAATGCTGCAACTCCTGGGAGGGGGGAAGGGGTTCTGTCATGCACACACTGTAATTTCTCTCCCACTTCCCCAATTCCTCCTTGAGTGTTTTGGCAGCTGGTTTAGGACTTTTGTTTAAGTATCCTGAAGTGTATAGGTTGTTTGAGATGGGACAGAATTAAGAATGTAGATGCTTTATGACAAAACAGCAGAAAACTCTATGAACGCAGCTCTTTGATCAACAGAGCTACTGAGTCTTAGGAACCAAAGAAAGCACTTTTTACATTGAATATTCTTTTTTTTTAAAAAAAATCAATATACCTGTAACAAACCACCCAAATTAGGAATTCTTCAGAGTAGTTTTGTTACCTGATTTTAATTTGAGGTAAATTCCCACCCTTTTTTTTTTATTATTAAATTCCCCCTTTTTATTATGAAGACCAAACGAGAAAAACCTGATTACCTCCTTTTACCTTCCTGGCTGTGCCTAGTCCTTAACCAACTTTTCTGGGTTTGTGATACCCTTATTCTTATCTCGGTTCTCTTGCTCTTTTCCTTTCAGTGTCTGTTTCAGTCTGACTTTCATTATCACCTCTTGTCTCCTAAGCTTGTGGTGTCTTGTTAGGGACACTGACATTGTTCTTGGGCATTTGGACTGCAGTTCCTTAGCCTATGTTTGCCCATCCTACCCAATTTTGACTATCAGTTGGCAACACTTAAGTATGAAACCCCTGAGGATCTGGGACTTACCAGCCATTGATGAAAGTTTTGTTTGTTCTGTTTATTCACATTATTGAATGGCTTCTTTGTACAATCAATCTTCAGCATGACCCTGTGCAGTCTAGTTCCTATCTCTCAGCTTGTCCATGTAGTAGACATTTTATTTAGCCCCTGCAAGTTTATACTTTCATGTTACCTTTAGACAGCAGAATTCAAATTTCATATGTTGGCCTAGAAAATGTTAACTAGAAGGACTTCTAAGTACCTTACATATTTGGATTGTTTATTATCTACTTTTGACCTCATACTGTTTCTTTACCCTAAACCCTAAGACTTCTGGGCTTTAAAAACTTTTAGTGCAGGGTTTCCCTACCGTGGCATTATTTTAGGATGAATATTTTTGTTGTAGGAGGCTGTCCTATGTATTGAAGGATGTTTAACCTCATCCCTGACCTCTACCCACAAGATGCTAGTAGCATCCCTCCCTAATTGTGACAACCAAATGTCCCCTGGAGGGCACAGTTGCTCTCATTTGAGAACCACTGGTTCAAGGTCTTCCAGGTTATATTTCCACTTCTACAGTCATCTCCTCATAGAAATATAGAATGGTTCCAGAACTACAAATACCTGTATATCTAAAGTGGTCAGAGAATGGCATGTTTAGGGTTGTGCCATTCATTCATTCACTTATTTATTCAGTGTACATTTATTGAATATCTACCAGTTACCATGCTAGATGTTGGAAAGAGAAACATGAATAACACATGGTCCTGGTACCTATCTTAGTATTGAATACATCAGTTATTCAGATTACTGTGTCTCACTAGGGTGCCGCGTTTGTACAGAGGAAGAAAAGATGTAGTGCGGTGCATGTAGCAGACTTAATACTGAATGTCTGTTGATAATTGAATGAATGACCTTATATAATAGAATGAGCATGGACTCTGTAATCAGACACATCTGCATTCGAATCGCAGTTTGCTCTTCACTACTTTCTTGTCGTATAACCTTGAGCACATTACTTAACACTTCTGAAGCTTAAGTGATATAACATGCAAGGTTTTTGGTGAAATCCCAAACTCACATAAATGTGTTAACAAATAGTGGCTGCTATTATTATTATTTATTACTACTTATTATAGAAAGGATCCCTGAATGTCTAATCTTGAGTGAGTGAGCGACAGATCTATGTGGATAAACAGTTTTCTTTAAAATGGAATTAAATAAATTGTCTCTTTCTTGGCAAGGAAGGCAGCTGTCCAAGTCAGTTAGCGTTGAAATTGCCTCCATAGTAGGAGCCAGAGGTTGAGGGCTAGAGGCATAAGGATCCATGAGACTCAGAAAAGAGAGGTGGTTGAGAGAATCATGTGTCACATTTGCAGAAAGGATTTAGAAAGGGTTTATAAGCAGACATGGTCAGATAGGAGTTCAAATACCAGGATTTAAGACAAACTCAAACACTTTTGTCAGTTTAGAATTGAATCTGAAAGCTCTTAAGGGTTTACCTGAAATCCTCTCAAATGTTTCTCTTCCTTCCCTGAACCCTAGGTTATTGTCTGTATCTTTTGTTTTTCACATTTAAGCTTATACTACCTCGTATTAGTACTCAAATCTTCATAGGACTGCCTTACCTTCAGAGCCAGATTAGAAGCTGGTTGAAGGCAAGAGCAATGTATTTATACACATGCTTTTCAGATCCGTGTGTCTATTAGCAGTATTCCTGTATTTGTGGAATGAAAGAATGCAAATCAACACAGTTTTAAAACAGTACACAAGCAACAATATTTCAAGTTATTCTTACCTCTTTAAAGCACTTTTGAGATCTAAAGGCAAAACTGACCTCTCCTTAATTTGGCATTTGATATACTGATATCTTACATAGTAATTATTTTTTTAAGTCTTGAGAAGAAAAACCTTGATTTTCTTTAATCTTAACCTATAGCCTAAAATTAAGAAAAGCAACTAATAAATATTGAGTGACATTACTATAACGTGCTTGAATGTGCACATATCATTTATTTAATTAAAAAATTTTTTTGAGATATGTAAGACAGTGTTGTCCTTCTTTTACTGATGGCTACCTTTATATATAGTGTCAGATTTCAAGATTGTATTGGCTTTGAAAATGCCTTGGATTTTACTTTGATATTGGTAATACTATTAAACTATATCCTTTCTACGAAATCCACATTCTTGGTAGAGTTGAGTGTTCAGATTATTTATGTATATTATCTCACATCTAGATTAGACTTTGGTCATCTACATGGTTTGAAGCTGAGGATTTTTATAGATAATTTAGCATATGTACATTCTTATAGAAGTGACCGTGTCTAGCTTGCCCAAAGTTTAGTAATATAGTCTTTTAATATTAAAAATGTCTTTTCTAAAAATGGTTGCAAAATTATGAAGTTTACAGAACCTTCAGAATACTTTTCACATAATAAGCAATTTGCTTCATCTGGTATCTTTTGTTATTTCTTTTGTTTTGATTTTGTTTATTAACACAGAAAAGCTTCACTGGCCTGAGCAAGAACTTGCTAAGAAGTCTATTCTAAATGCAGAAGAGTCCTTGATTATTGGCAGCAAAGGAAGCATTTCACATTTATCTCCTGGAATACTAAAGGACATTTTCACAACTGGAACCAGTAGTTACAATGTCCTACTACAGAGCAAAGAGGAGAAAAAGCATCATTCACAAAAACAGTCTTCCTCCACCTACTCCAAAAGATGTAGAAAACCCAGCAAATCTAGCTCTTCACGTAGTAAAGATCTTCGCAAGATGAAAGCCCCAGTGCCTGTGATGAGCAGTGATACTTGGTACTGCCTAGAAAGGCAGCCTGCTGTTTTTGTCACTAGTTCAGTGTCAAGTCCTGTAAAGTTTACACATGATATCTCTGTTACAGGAAACAGCACAGTACTGCCACCTAAACCCAAAAATGAAAGAAAGGTCAAGCGACGCCATTTCTCTACTCTTCCAAAGCCAAAGCTGCAGCCTCAGCTGTCTAGAAGTTTTGAAAAAGGAGATGACTTTTCTGGAAAGAAATTTTGTATACTGAGTGCTATAAAGCCCACCAACTTGGAGAAAGAAAAAGTGAGATTCTTTAAGTCTGACTATACCTACAATCCTCAGTTTGAATATGCTAATCCTTCCCTGCCAAGTGTGTTAGCCAAGCACAGCAACGCAACTGACCGGTTTCTTAAGCAGGTAAAATGCTACTTCAGTAGTAGTATTTCATTTTATGTAATGAAAACAATTATTTGCCATCGTATAGAAAGCCAAAAATGTTGTTTTAAAATATTCCAATTATTTATAGTTAACTCCCATCCAGGACATGTAAATATGTGACAAGAAATCTCCAGGTGAGTGTCACAGTTCATATGTAAACTACTTTGCACTAATCAAAATCTATAAAGAATCTATTATATAGACGTTGTGTTAGGAAGCAACTATATTAGGAAAAAGCTTCAGATTCTGGTTCCAAGCTTTCATTTGGGAGTTACAAACTTATGGCCCATTTGTCAGCCCACAGACAAGTGTTTGTTTTCTTTTTGATTTTGAATGCGTTAGATGGAGCATGCAGTATCTCTGGTTCTCCCTGTTATATTACATTCTCAGCTTGCTTAGGCCCCTAAAGGCATTTTGGGGACTAGGCTTGATACTTGCCAAAGAACTTTTTAATGCTTTACTGAAATTGTTAATAATCATCAAATATATAAGTACTCATTTAAAGAAGAAAATAATGGAATTTAAAAAATTATCTTCAAGCGTAGCAAATCACGATGTGGATGATATAAGCAACACTTTCCAAATTGCTCAGTTTAGATACTTAGCACACAGTTTTGTGTGTTAAGGTCTTAATAAACTTCAAAATCCACTTTATTGGGCTTCCCTGGTAGCACAGTGGTTGAGAGTCTGCCTGCTAGTGCAGGGGACATGGGTTCGAGCCCTGGTCTGGGAAGATCCCACATGCCGCAGAGCTACTAGGCCCGTGAGCCACAACTACTGAGCCTGCGCGTCTGGAGCTTGTGCTCCGCCACAAGAGAGGCCGCGATAGTGAGAGGCCTGCGTACCGCGATGAAGAGTGGCCCCCGCTTGCCACAACTAGAGAAAGCCCTCGCACAGAAACGAAGACCCAACATAGCAAAAATAAATTAATTAATTAATAAAAACTCCTACCCCCCCAACATCTTCTAAAAAAAAAATCCACTTTATTTGAGGAGAAGTTGGCTGATGTTTACCTTCAGGGCACAGAGTTGAGATCATAAAAGCAGACTACATTTGGTTAAATTAATTTTGTACAGGTTTTTATAATGCATTAGGTTCAACTTGGCTTTGTCAGTGATTGAAAATCTGTAGGCTAGGTGAAGCTGCGTGATTCCATTTGCCTTTGGCAAATGCCCTATGTTAACATTTTGCTGCAGTGCAAGTTCTTTGGACTTGCAGCCAGCAAATTTTTTATTGTTTGTTATAAATTACATGGAATCTGACCAGTCTTTTAAAGCCATTATGTAAAGCTTATTCTAAGATTAAAACAATTTTAATCTTGCTATTTATTTTCCTTTGTTAGAAAAAGCCTTTTCTACTGCTGCTATTTTTTTGAAGGTACACCCCCCCCCTTTTTTTTAATTGGAGTATAGTTGATTGACAATGTTGTGTTCATTTCAGGTGTATAGCAAAGTGAGTCAGTTATACATGTACATATATACACTCCTTTTTAGATTCTTTTCCCATATAGGTCATTACAGAGTATTGAGTAGAGTTCCCTGTGCTATACAGTAGGTCCTTATTAGTTATCTATTTTATATATAGTAGTGTGTATTACATTCCCTTTTTATTGAAATATGAAATTGTGCTAAACACTAATAAAAAGGTCAGCTATTATTTTGGCAGTGATTTTACGATTTTTTTTCTTTTTTTGGTGTGGAAATTGCAATTGATTGAATAGGGCTTTCACTCACTTAAAATTTATGGTAATTATAAAAATCCTATTTGTTTTTTTCTCCCTTAATGCTGAAAGAGACAGCTGAGATTTCTTTACCAGATTTCTTTAATTTGGAGTCCTACTGCAAGCCCTACCAGTTGGGAAAGGGATTTCCCACCATTAGGTCAAAATGAATGCTCTTTCATTTTCTTGGATGGGAGTTAGGAAGCATCAGCAGCTCCAGGGATTGAGAATTGACAGTGCTTGGTTTCTGGCATCAGCAGCTCCAAAGATTGAGAACTGACAGTGCTTGGTTTCTGGCTCTACAATCTTTATTTTAACCCAATTCCAGCTTCTTATGCTCAGGTTGTTTGAGGCTTCTAAACAGCACCAGCAGTCCTAGCTGGCTGGTACTTCAATTGCTGCCATTTGGGAGAATGATTGCAGCAAATGCCAAATGTACTTTTCAAACCACTTTAATCAAATAAGGGAGATTTATCGGAACAAGACCCCCATAAAATATGCTTAAGTTCCTGCTTAGCATCTGAATGAATTCTGACATGATACATCCTTCCCCTCCCCAGCTGTGAAGCTAAAGCAGCAGCTTCAGGGCTGGTTTCAGGATTCAGAAATGCACACAGAGGGGCCAGGATGGCTGAGTAGCCCATTTGTCTCTGGCCTCCACCCTTGAGGCCTTGCCAATCCCTAGCTGACAGTCTCGCAAGTTTCACGATCTGGATCTTTCCAAGGCAGGCAATCTATACTGTTGTTGGAGAGTGACCGCGGTCCTCTTTAGTGTACAGATAGGCAGAACAATGCCAAATCCATGCAGAGATAAGTCTACCATAGTGGAACTAAGGTAGTGCTCAGGTCCTGGTCATTCCTAATTGATTGCCCTGTCAATGTCAAGGAGTTCCAGGACTCAGTTTTTTTCTGGTCCAGGCAGTAGTTTCCTCAGGAGGCACTTAGGCCCGTTAGGTGGTTCAGAGCATCTAGCATGGGCTGCAGGACTTGAATATAACTCCAGGTGGAGCCTGGTGAACCCTGCTTAGCCTCTTGCTGGCAGCCATGGTGGGCCTCAGCTCCCCAACCCTTGGGACAGAAACTGAAAATGTCTGTTTTCTGAGGTTGTGGACCTTTGCAGGAAAGAGTGCAGTGCTTCCTGGATGCAGAAGAAGGGATCTAGGATGAGAGAATGCTGAAAGCTGTCCAGCGTCAGGTGGCTGCTCACTAGTGGGTCAGAAGTAAATCCTTAGTGGCACATTTGAGCAGTCAACTGGCAGCCAGTACACTTTCTGCCTTACTTCTCTGTGGCTGACCATCCTGGGAAACCTAGATATAAAATCCGTATGGCCTTAGATCCAGCACATTGTTGAACAAGATTGGAAGTGAGAGATGAGAAGGGTTTTCAGGGCAGTGTTGGGAGTCCTTGGCAGTATTTCCAACAGTCAAATGGAGATTACATATTTATGGATAAAGCCAATGGGTAGTTTAAATGACTGATTTTCCACCTCTAGCTGGAATCGTGTCTCATTGTAGATTATGGCTAGGATCCTGCTAACTGGAAGCCCTGATTAGTTGAATGATATTTAATAACATATGGGAAATAAGTCAACTTTTGTTTGGCTTGATAAGGTAAAGTTTGAATTATGTTCTTATTTGTTAACAAAACTGGAGCAGTGGGGATCATTAGTGATTGGTAAATGGGGAGAGAAGGAAGACTTTGCTGTGTTGGGTAGAGACACTGGGCTGAGGCTACCCCTCTGGCTGTCAGGGAAGAAAAGGTAAAGGGGTGCAGAGGAGTTAACAGAACAAGCCTGAGACTGCCATCCTTAGAAAGGCCTGCTTGCAAGATTAACCTGTGCCTGGCGTCTGGGAACTTGACTGGTAAACAGTTTCCTACACTGAAATAAAACTTTCCCTAAATGATAAGAGTAGCTTGCTGTGCCTAAATTGTGCAAACAGTATGTTTTATGTTAAATACTTGTTTTCCTTTAGGGAGTCTGGAATTTTAGAATGTGCTAGGCATAGGGGTGCTTATGTGACCAGCTGATAATAAAAACCTTGGGCAGTGAGTGTGTAATAAGTTTCCTTGGTAGACAAATCTTTACATGTTCTTACAACTCAGTTGCTGGAGAAGTTAATTGCATTCTGTGACTTCATTGTGAGAAGACTCTTGAAGCTGCTTCTTGTTTCCTCCAGACTTTTCCTGGATATCAGAAATGGGGAGTGGTGGGCTTAAGTTGATTTTTTTTTAAAGGCATTTACCTTCAGATTTTAGAAGAAAAAACTCTGTACTGTCCAAATAAAACATCTCCATGGGCTGTATTAGTAGTCAGTTTGAGATTCCTGATCAGTTACAAGGTCTGGCTTCTTACAGCTTTGTAAAGGGCCATTGTGTTGCACCATTCCACGAGGTGCCATTCACAAATTGAGCCTGGGGCTCACATTCATACAATAGAGTTGATGTTTACCATAAGCATGGGGTTCTTCTTCGGCATTATAATACAGTACTCCTCTAATACTTTTTAGTTGTGTGATATTTGTCTTAGAAGTTCAAGTAAATTAAATGTATGCTAAGTTAGAAATGTTGCATGGAGGGTAGCTGGGAAAGAATGAACAAAAAAAGCATACTTGTTTTATTATGAAATTGTTCACACTGCCTTTTTTTCAGGACCCTTGCGCCTTTGTTATTCCATTAAAATTGCTTTGAAATTTAAGGACAAAGTCACATGAACTATCTATATATGAAAAATTATAACTAACATTAATAGAGTGCTTAATATTTGCTTGTTACTCTGTATGCTGTGTACTTTTCACCTATTATGAGGTACAGTACTAGTAGTATCTAGAGAAGTGCAGTCGCTTTCTTGACTTGGATCTTAAGTTGCAGAACCAGGAGTCTTTCTCAAGCACTCTGTTGTCTTCCACACAAAGGTATGTTGGCAAACTAGCTCTCCATTTCCGTGGTATAAATACTTCCACCAGGACCAGTTTCAAGCAATGTAACATCACTGTCATGCAAATTAATAAAAATTCAATCAGCTCTGACAAGACAGCATGGCTGGACTCCAGCTTACCACTGTTTCACAAAATGGTTTCAACCAGGCTTTTCTAACCCCAGTGCACCCCCTGCACTCAAAGGGTACCAGGTCAAAAGAGCCTCACTTAGCTGGCAAGGATGCCTTTGGTAGAAGCTGATTATAGGGACTTGGAAGATTTTTTTTTTTGCTCTTTGTGATACACCTATGAAACAGTGATTATTAATTACTGTCTTTTGGAA